AAATAATGTAACAAAGGCAAAAAAGCATGGAATTATTTAAAGCAGGCAAAGGTTACACACAGACTGTGATGTCCAGGAGACAGCAGCTCCCAGATGGAAGACAAGCTACCTGGACTTCACCTTCCCACTGAGGGGCTGCAGATCCACCATGGAGTCCACTGGGTCTTCTACAAAGCTGTTTGCTCTGTGTGGGGTTTTGGGATTCCTTGACCTTTTTCAGCTACTCTGGAAAGTCTGGCTGCGTGCCTTCCCACCAGGTGCAAATTAGATGCAATGACCTCAGCACATGCCTGGAGGGCTTTACTAAAGATGGTGCGGGTCAAGGTCACTCAAAGTTTCCCAGGGTTGCCCTCTGTAGTGGAGTCTGGCTCCATTTTTTTAGTAAATTTATTTATTTATTTATTTTTTGCCTGCGTTGGGTCTTCGTTGCTGCTCGTGCTCTTTCTTTAGTTGCGGCGAGCGGGGGCCTACTCTTTGTTGACGTGTGCCGGCTTCTCATTGCGGTGCCTTCTCTTGTTGCGGAGCACAGGCTCTAGGCTCGCGGGCTTCAGTAGTTGTGGCTCGCGGGCTCTAGAGCGCAGGCTCAGTAGTTGTGGTGCGTGGGTTTAGTTGCTCCGCGGCCTGTGGGATCTTCCCGGACCAGGGCTCAAACCCGTGTTCCCTGCATTGGCAGGCGGATTCTTGACCACTGTACCACCAGGGAAATCCCTGGCTCCATTTTTTGATGTTCGACTTCTGACAGCTTTTGGCTTCAACTCTTTCTCTTCTCCTTGTGCCTGGCATCATCCGGGCCAGCTGATAAGCTCAGGTGCTCCCAACTTTGGCACAGCAGGAGTTTCAAACCACACAAGCCCCTCCCCATGCACGGGCTTCTCATTGCGGTGGCTTCTCTTGTTGCAGAACACGGCTCTAGGCGCATGGGCTTCAGTAGTTGTGGCACGCGGGCTCAGTAGTTGTGGTGCACAGGCTTAGTTGCTCTGTGGCATGTGGGATCTTCCTGGACCAGGGCTCGAACCCATGTCCTCTGCTTTGGCAGGCGGATTCTTAACCGCTGTGTTACCAGGGAAGCTCCTGGGTCATATTTTAGATTCCACATATAAGTGATATCATCTGATATTTGTCTTTCTCTATCTGACTTAACTTCACTTAATCTCTAGGTCCATCCATGTTGCTGCAAATGGCATTATTGCATTCTATTTTATGGCTGAGTAATATTCCATTGTGTTGTGTGTGTGTGTGTGTGTGTGTGTGTGTGTGTATCACATCTTCTTTATCCATTCATCTGTCATTGGACATTTAGGTTGCTTCCATGTCTTGGCTATTATAAATAGTGCTGCTATGAACACTGGGGTGCATGTATCTTTTCAAATTAGAGTTTTCATCTTTTCTGGATGTATGCCCAGGAATGAAACTGCTCGATCATATGGTAACTCTATTTTTAGTTTTTTTAAGGAACCTTCGTACTGTTCTCCATAGTGGCTGTACCAGTTTACATTCCCACCAACAGTGTAGGAGGGTTCCTTTTTCTCCACACCCTCTCCAGCATTTATTATTTGTAGACTTTTTGATGATGGCCATTCTGACCAGTGTGAGGTGATACCTCATTGTAGTTTTGATTTGCATTTCTCTAGTAGCATCCTGAATGCTACTAACATCTTACAACATACAAAACAGCTAATTACCACAAAGAATGTCCAAAATGTCAGTAGTGCTAAAGTTGTGAGAGTCTGCTCTAGCATTTGACTACTCTAAGTGTGGTCTTTGGACAGACAGCTTGGGCATGGTGGAGAAATCTGTTGGAAATGCAGAGTCTCAGATCCCCCCTGAATCTAGTAAATCAGAATCAGCGACATTTAACAAGCTCCCCAGGTGATTTGTATGAACATTAAGACTTGAGAAGTGCTGTTTTTACACTGATTGTTTATTCTTTCTGATTTTCATCATGACTGTATGGTTTTCCACAGGCTCCAAGAGTTCTCATTAATTATAAGCACCAGTTTCTGAGGAGAGTGCATTTCCATCTCAGGAGAGACCTGGGCTAGCCATCCACATCCATGAGACAGAAGGGATACCACAGTAGCTGTGCTTTCCAAAGTTCTGAGCATTTCCCTTAAGCTTGGCACGTGTGGGGTACTGCATGTGGCAGCCTTGGATTGATTTATGTGTGTGAGTGTGGGGGAAGGCCAGGGGGAGATTTCACCCTGAAGAGGGTAGTAGTGTGATCGTTGATATACTTGATCTGCCCGTCCTAAGGCCTAAACATATGGTTGGGGAAGACAAGCCCTTGTCATAGATATTCCATGTGGGCGGCAGCGATTGCTGTAGCAGGGCCAACTTCATGAGCGCGCAACCTGTACAGTCACACAGGACCTGAATTTGGAAAGGCTGCACACTTGGTTTAATGCTCCGCTGTCATCATCTTGAAGCACATGATTTTGATCGTCATTTCGCATTGGGCCCTGCATATTATGTAGCCAATCCTGAGCTAGAGGAATGGGTCAGGGGTCTGGAATTGCAACCTAACTCTTGTGCCAATCAAAACTGGCTAGCTTGTCATTTTCACATGTCTGCTATGAGTTGCCAGCCCTTATATAAGTTCATTCATTTACTTATTCAGCAAGTATTTACTGGCCACTTCTTGTGCACTGGGCACTCTTTCAGGTGCTGGAGATACCAAAGTAAACAGACAAAATCCCTGCCCTCATGGAGCTCACATTCTCCTGAGGGGGACTGACAGGGAAGAGGGCATGAAACGTTGTGGGTTGCAGTACAAATAGGATGTATATATAGGAAATGTAGATAGGATGGCTGAAAAGGCCTCATTGAAAAGGCAACTATTGAGTGAAGATCTAAATGACGAGATTGTCAACTTTAATAACAGAAAAGACAGTTATTTTTACCAGAAACAGTATTTATTAGGGAATAGCAGAGGAATGGCAATTCAGATCATAAGCAAATCCAGAGAAGAAGGGAACTTGCTTTTATAGAGAAAAGGGGGGAATTGGGAGGGGCTGTGATAATCAAAGAGCCCATTGGAGGAAGCTGGGAGTCCAAAGTATGCAGGCTTCTCATTGGTTGTGCTACTACGGTCTCTTACTGGCTGGGCTGTCACTGGGTGGAGAAAAGTTTTAATCCCCCTGCTGGATAGTAAGTAGAGGCACTTCAGTTGGAGATGTAGGCAAATTTTGTCTCTTCCTATTTGGAGCAATTGGTGATGCATGGAGGGGCATGAGAGCTCCCCCTACAGTCCTGTCCCAACTCCAACTTTGGCTGAGGTTTCTTTAACTCCACAAGAGAATCTGCAGAAATCCAGGGGTATGGGGAGATGGGAGCTTTCCAAGTGGAGAGAAGAGAAAGCAAAAGTTCTGAGAATGAACCATGCCTGGCATGTTTGAAGAACAGGAGGTTGGCATAGCTGGCATGGAGAGAACAATACGGAGAGTAAAAAAGTGATGGGGAATCACTCTTGTAGTCTGGTAGGTCATGGTAGGGGCCTTAAGTGTTTCTGTGACTGAGATGGGAAGCTGCTCATTAGACGTGATCTGACTTAATGTTTCACCAAGATCATCCTGACTTTAATGTTGAGGATAGACTAGAAAGGTCAAGGGCAGAAGAAGGGTGTTCAGTTAACAGGCTATTGTAATAATTTAGGCAAAAGATGATTGTGGCTTATGCATTCAAGTGGTTGAATTCTGTCTTTATTTTAAATGAAAAGCCAACAGACCAGATTTAGGGCTAACAAAAAAAGAGTAGAGCCAAGGATGGCACCACGAGTTTTGACTGAGCAAATTAAAAAAAATGGTAGAAACTGATTCAGGGAGGATATAAGGGATTCCATTTGGATTGCAGTTGATCCTTGAACAACATGGGTTCAAACTGCACAGGTCCACTTACATGTGGATATTTTTTCAATAGTAAATACTACAGTACTATACAGTCAGTGGTTGGTTGAATCCAAGGGTATGGAGGAACCTCAGGTATGGATGGCCAACTATAAGTTATATGTGGATTAAGCCCTGTGTTGTTCGTCAACTGTAGTTAGGTTTGAGATGTCCATTGGTTATCCAAGGAGAAATGTCAAACAGGCAGTCAAGTTCAAGGAAATTTTGATTAAAGATATAAATCTCAAGTCATCAGCATATAGATGATATTTGAATGAATACCGATAGAAAATAATTGAAATAAAAGTCAAACTCCTAACTTTTACTGTCACTGGAGCTGTTTCAAAAATAAGGACATGTGTAAACACTCCAAGAGGCCCGACTGCAAAATTCAGCTGAAGTTAAGATATGAACACACGAGATGGATGTGTTTTCACTGTCTAGTCTCCAAAAAAAAGATAAAGCAAAAGGAAAAAGTCTCATCAGTTTGGTTACTTATTATTATTTTTTTTATAAATGTATTTTATTTATTTAGTTAGGCTGTGTTGGGTCTTCATTGCTGCGCGTGGGCTTTCTCTAGTTGTGGCGAATGGGAGCTACTCTTTGTTGCGGTGCGCGGGCTTCTCATTGTCGTGGCTTCTCTTGTTGCAGAGCATGGGCTCTTGGCACACGGGCTTCAGTAGCCGTGGCATGTGGGCTCAGTAGTTGTGGCACACGGGCCCTAGAGCACAGGCTCAGTAGTTGTGGTGCACAGGCTTAGTTGCTCCACAGCATGTGGGATCTTCCTGGACCAGGGCTCGAACCCGTGTCCGCCGCATTGGCAGGAGGATTCTTAACCACTGTGCCACCAGGGAGGCCCTGGTTACTTATTTTAAATCCTTATTATGAGTTATTTTATCCTATAAGTAGTTCAAATCTTCACATGATTAAGGGGTTTTCATGGCTGTCAGGACAGGACTTGGGCTGGAGAGTCCCTGCAGACACCTCCTTCCACAGCCTCTCATATCTTGGTTTAATCCACATAGTTAATCATCTTCAAGTAAGAGCTCTTCTAGCTGGCCATTTTCTCAGCTTGCAGCTTTGAGAGAAGCATCACTAGAAGCATCCACCTTCTATAACCTAGGGAGATTTGGAGCCAGGATGCATTTCAGGAATAATTTCAGGCTGAAAAGCCTGGTAATTTATGTCTTGTGGAGTTTCAACGTTCCAGTCAACCTGGACAGATGGCTCTGAAGAAGGAATCTGTTGAGGCATTCCT